TAATATGTTTCTCCGTGTTCGTCCCATATGTTATTCTTCTGATCAACCTTCTCCATTATAATATGTTTCTCCGTGTTCGTCCCATATGTTATTCTTCTGATCAACCTTCTCCATTATAATATGTTTCTCTGTGTTCATTCCATATGTTATTCTTCTGATCAACCTTGTCCATTATAATATGTTTCTCCGTGTTCGTTCCATATGTTATTCCTCTGATCAACCTTCTCTGTCTGTCTGTTTTCTTATTACGAACTGTATTCCTTGAAAAATTATATTAAGAACCATTTTCACCACTTGCTGCTCTGAAATATTTTCTTATACATTAATAAATAGCGGTTTCTCACAATTTTCTAAAACAACGAAACAACCTTCCGTGTAGACTTTTAACTGAAAAATGCTTCTTAAATTAGAAATACGTTTAAGATACACAAATACAATATATAAAAACCAGAGGCATAACAAGAAAATTCGTATCACAATATTGGTTGTTAGTGCAAACCATCTCAAATTAAACTATTTATATTTTAATTAATTATCCTCTTTCTTTCATAATTATTTTTTCGCTAAATATATTGAAACCACACCGAAAATATACAGTATTAATAATTTTACAATAAACAAACAGTTAAACATTCAGAAATAACACCAACCTCCAGCCGTTCGTTTCGTCTGTGGAAAAAGCCCCATCAATTATGCTTGCCATAAGCTGCCCACCAGCACTGAAACAGCTATTCAGTGTTACCAGCCGCCCACGGATTTTTGAGGGCGATATTTCGGATATATAAATCGGTACCGTCATAGATGCTAATCCTGGAAATAGAAAACATATTTTTTTACTTTTTTAACTCACTTTTTACATTTACTTTTGCAACAAACATTCGTCATTCGTAATTGTTAACAACTAATTTGTTGTAGAAATCTATGAGGTAATATTTACTATTTTTATTCCGCTTGCTGATTGCTTCACTTATGGATTGCATAACATAGCGCATATAAAGCAATTCATGAAAAGTATTTCATTGAATCAATAGAAATATAATAGTTATTACATTGTTTAAAGATGTGATATTGAGTGATAATTCCCGTGTATAGAAGCGTTGTGCCACGTCCTATCTTCCTCAACTGTAATTCCCGTGTATAGAAGCGTTGTGTCACGTCCTATCTTCCTATACTGTAATTCCCGTGTATAGAAGCGTTGTGTCACGTCCTATCTTCCTCTACTGTAATCCCCGTGTATAGAAGCGTTGTGTCACGTCCTATCTTCCTCTACTGTAATTCCCGTGTATAGAAGCGTTGTGCCACGTCCTATCTTCCTCTACTGTAATTCCCATCTATAGAAACGTTGTGTCACGTCCTATCTTCCTCTACTGTAATTCCCGTGTATAGAAGCGTTGTGTCTCATCCTATCTTCCTCTACTGTAATTCCTGTGTATAGAAGCGTTGTGTCACGTCCTATCTTCCTCTACTATAATTACCGTGTATAGAAGCGTTGTGCCACGTCCTAACTTCCTCTACTGTAGGCCGCGTTTAGGTTGATGTCAGACTCCACAATTTTCATTGTACTAAACGTTTGCAAGGGTTAGTCCTGTCACTTGGAATACAAATCTTGATTGTCGGCTTCTGAGTAAATCAAAGAAACAAGAGTCCATTGGAGTTGCACTGAAGATACGTAATCGAATGAGATTGCTGCGTTTCAACTTCTTCATCCAACTTTTTAATAAAAAAGCCATTCTGTTAACTTCGAAATGCACCTGAAAACTTATGAACCTTCTTAGTTTGTCTATGATGATGTTAACGGTGCAAAAAGATACACCCATCTTCATTTTTGGGAATGAGGGCATTGCGATATAACTTCAGAACTCTTGCTCCACTTGCTTCTTTCTGATTCAATGGAGAACGTTAAAACTTTGCTTATTCGAAATGTTGTGCTCACTAATTTGTATGTTAAAAAATGCCGCCTGTGGCGCCAGGGTTCTTATCTGAACTCAAATAATCCAATCGTTGTTACAAAATGTATCTAACCCTCTGGATCGCCTTAAAAACATTTTTTTCTTTTGCAAGTACTAGATTTATTGCTGGAGCTGAACTAATGCCATCAATTACCAGATATGAAATTCAGAAATACTGTTGAGTATCCCCCCCCAATTAATAATGAGAACTATTACTTTATATCAATAGTGTTGAGTATCCCCCCCAATTAGGAATGAGAGCTATTACTTTTGATCAGTTCTTCTCAACTTCTTAACCCAGAGGCTAATGAGATCAGGATCAGGGTGAATGAGTATTATCAATTATACAACTAATTCAAGAGCAAAAAAAAAAATCATTAGTTATTATTATTTATTCTAGTTGTAGTTTGATAAATACATTTATTTTCTGTTTATGTTATGTTGTATTTATTTTAGTTGAAGTTTGATAAATTATCTAGTAGAAACTGATCGTAATTACCAATAATCTATTTACCAACAATACGAAATCATCTAGTAAAAACTGGTCGTAATTACCAATAATCTATTTATCAACAATACGAAATCATCTAGTAGAAACTGATCGTAATTACCAATAATCTATTTACCAACAATACGAAATCATCTAGTAGAAACTGATCGTAATTACCAATAATCTATTTACCAACAATACGAAATCATCTAGTAGAAACTGATCGTAATTACCAATAATATATTTACCAACAATACGAAATCATCTAGTAGAAACTGATCGTAATCACCAATAATCTATTTACCAACAATACGAAATCATCTATAAGCAGCTAATTGTAATCGCCAATAAAACGTACCTGGTCTTTTAAAAGAAGAGGTTTCTTTGGGTTGTACTCGACGATATTTGATGGTTCTTAAGATTTATCTGAAGTTAGAACGATAAATATTGTGAAAACTTTTACAAACAAATATCTGTTCCTTTGTTTAGCCAGCAATGCCACTGAAAATGTGGGCTGCACTAAAAAAAAATAACCAGTTGCTTAGAGCCATGAAATCTCTGTTATTACCAATAAATTCAAAGATGGAGTATTGATAGCTCTGATTCTCTAACTTTGATGTTCAATTTTGAGATTCAAGTGAAGTCATCTCAATCTCCCGCGTTTTGTGATTTTTTTGAAAATTCTATCAAACTACATAGTACTATTCCATCGAGGACAAGAGAAGAGGCCACTAATGAACGTGAATACGAACAAGAACCAAAGTGGTTGTCTCTATCAGATCCACTTTAAAAAAAACCTTTACATCCTCCCGCTTAAGAACGAATCGACGAATAGGAAGTCGGAGTTATAAACAAGATCTTTAAGGTAAAATAAACTTAGAAGTGCATATAAAGAACGTTGAGATTCCGTTTTCTCTCTTTTATTACATGGTTGTATTCATAAGAAAAGGTAAACTCTGACAAACGGAATGATTTAGAAATTACATGTAAAAGTTACCACTATGCCTATAAAATGTTAATATCCTTGCATAATCCAGTTATATCTCCAATCAACGACATTTTAGTTAAACGGAATCTCTCTTCTTATTACATGGTTGTATTCATAAGAAAAGGTAAACTCTGACAAACGGAATGATTTAGAAATTACATGTAAATGTTACCACTATGCCTATAAAATGTTAATATCCTTGCATAATCCGGTTATATCTCCAATCAGCGACATTTTAGTTATTGTTGTTTTGTAAATTAATTTGTGTTTAATCGGAAGGAAAGAAAGAAATGTACTCTCCAGAATGATTCTGTATTTAAGAAAAAAAAACTCACTCGATATATTTATTAGCCAATGATTTTCCATGATTATTCCATTTCATTCTTCAACAGTTTGATTCCACAACAAAGAAAATACAAATAATTTCACATTTAAAGTAATTTTACTTGTAAGTTAATGTAATTTACATTATTATTATGTTGTTGTTTTTTCATTTTTTTTTCTCTCTGTTATTTTTTCATGGAAATTTTATTAATCATTGTCTGTTTGGGGCAGTTGAAAGCGTTCTTGGAGCTCCTGATTTCGTAACTGGCGCGCCAGGTTCGAATACTTGCGGTTGTACAAAATATTTCCTATGTCCCACTCTAAGTTGAGTAATAAGAGTGATAGTCAATCCCCTAGTTTGGACGGTAAGTAGTAGAGTTCTGCTGATTGGCTACCTTCCGTCTGGTCAGTGGCTCAAAATCAGGGTCGACGGCAGTAGCTTTACCATAAACACAATTAAAAATATTGGACACTGCATGGTTAGGTGGTTAGGGCGTTCGACTCGCAACCTGGTGGACGTGGTTTTGAATTCCCGTCGCACCAAACATGTTCGTCCTTTCAGTCGCAGGAACGTTATAATATGACGCTCAATCCTATGTTGCTTTCACTGTTATCTACCGAAAGTTAAATACCTGTATTTCCGCAACATCACATCCTGTTTAACTCCGCAGTCTCGATCTGAATCCCTACTGACAGGGCGCGGCTAAGCGAGCATGCTTTTTGATAAATGAGCAGCCCGAGTAAGCCCACTTATTATTATAAACAAGTGACGCATGACGGCTGTAACTTCTCTTTAGTTTAACGATATTACATTCTTATGCACTTAGCATGGCTCTTATGTGTGCTCGTGCTCGCGTGTGCATATAGTTTACACTGCACTCTTGATTATGTATATATTGATTTAGTCTGTATATTCATTAGCTTGGTAAAATATAATTGCTCTGGAAACTTTATCCAGACTATATCATAAAAAAAAAGAATTCATTTGGGATTTTTAACTAACTTTTTTTCTCACCTACGTTGCATGGCAAGTCGTTATTGTTATTTGTTATTAAACACAAAGCTGCACAAAGGGCTATCTGTGGTCTGCCCACCACGGGTATCGAAACCCGGTTTCTATCAGTATAAATTCGCAATCATACCACTGTGCCACTGGGAGGGGGGGGGCCCATGGCAAGTCACGAATACATATAGGCCTGAATTGTTTTACTTATTTGTTATTAAGCACTGTATTGTTGGAAGC